AGGCTGCCGGTCTGTGAGGGGAGGAGCGGGGGAGGGGCGGCTGGCGGCCATTGCTCTCTCCCGCTCCCCCGGGAGGGCGAACGGTCGCTTGTGGGGGATCGAACCGAGCGGCGGACAACGACACCGTCCCACCCGGCAGACCGTAGCCGCCCCGGGAGGGCCGGCCGCGGCGTGGCGCTTCTCCCTCCCCTGCGGGACGGCCGCCGGCAATGGCGGCCCGCGCCCCCCGGCCGCTCCGACGGCGGGATGAGGCCGAGGTTGCTCATGGCCATGGGGTTTGCGGTTGTCCGTGTTGCCCGGGCCTGGGCTGCACTGGGCTGGGAGATGCCGGGGACCAGCTGCTCGCCGCTGGGTAGCCCGCCCTTGGCTCGCAGATCGTGGTCTGAGGTGCTGCGACTCTCCCTGAAGTTGCTGAGGCAGAGCTGCTCCCGCCTTGTTGCTCTGCTCTCACGGCACCCCGGGCACCAGCTCTTGGGCCCCCGCCAAGCTCCATTTTTTTTTTTTTTTTGCGGGGGGTTTCTCTAGCAGAGCGGTTGCCCACTGGTGTGAGGTTCGCCTCTTCCCACCTCTCCTTTTTCTACCCTGAAAGAACTTAGCCAATAATACATAATAGTAGTTTAGATAAGTATTACTCAGTAATAATCACACACGAAGCTTACCAGTCTGCATGCGACACTTGCAAATTGTTGTCCAGCTGTCCTCCAGTCAGTGCTAATGGCATCACTGGGGGAACAACACACTAGGAGTTTGGGTAGGTCCACAATAAAACGTCTGTATTATTAGAAGGGAAGCGTGGTAAAAATTCTAACCCTTATCTTCACTATCGTCACCTCCAGCTGCACTGTAGAGAGCACCTGGAGAAGGATGTTTGGTCATCCCATCACTTGTTTTGGTGGACTTGGCAGTGTTATGTTTGCGGTTGGACTCAATGATCTTAAAGGTCTTTTCCAACCTAAATGATTGTTGTATTCCCTCCTGACCACTGGGGAGAGTTCCCCCTCTGCCTCTCATATTCCCTGTCTCTCTCTGTCCTTTGTTTTTCCCTAAGGCAGCTTGAGTTAATGTGTATCACCAACAGCAGACTCTGCAAATAAAAATTTGTTTGTGTATATCTGCCTCAACGTTTTGTGCAATGCCAACACAGGCAAACGTTGGGAAACCAAGACAAACATTCATGCCTGCTTGTAATGAAGGAGAGCCAAGCTAGAGCTATAAAGCAAATTTTAGTATGGTTGTGATTTGAGAAAGGCGCCATCAGAATGAAAGGACAGATGAAAGAGAAGAGTTATAATCAGGAAAATTCTCCCATTTCTCCTAAGTGTGAGCTGGACTTGGGCAGTAAAGAGGAAACCACCAAATAAATCCCCAGCTTAATCCTCCATTTTACTTTCTTTCCTGAAGGTGTTTTAGTGCCAAGAGCCAAGAGACCAATAAAAATTCAGAAACTTTAAGGCAAGCTACCTATCATGACTACTGTGTGAGCTCCGGAAAGGTCTGTAGGACTGTCGGTAATACATAATTTGGGTATAGAGCTTTCTGACAAGCTTCTGTACCATCACATATTGTGGTGCTTCTGCTAGTGGGCAGGATTGCTAATGCTTTGCCTTCCTGCAAAGAAGTCTTAGAGTGAAAATTTTAAAAGGGCTGCAAAGAAAACAGCAGAGAATCAATTTCGCGATATGAACAGGAACTGCGTAGCAGCTGCAGTGAAATGACCAAACACGTTTTATTGGATGTAAATGTCAGTGACATCCGAATTTAGTTCTGAAAAGTGATAAGGTGACTGAAGTCACACACTTACTTTAGTTATCTTTCATTCTGCATTCTACTTTTTACCATAGGTCAGTTGTTCCTGCAGTACGATTAAAGTTGCTGGCTTTTTAATGAGAAGAAGTGATTTTCATATTCATTTTTAAAATACTGTGTTTCTGTTCTAACTTTGAATAAGCAGCATGTAAAATAAATTGAAGAGCAGCATAAATAGATATTGCAACGTAATGGAAACTACAGTGAGCATTGAATATGGGAGTTTCCTATGGCTTCCACTCATCCCTCCTGGCCATGCCTGCAGAGATTTTTATTCTGGGAGAAGGGTCTCCTACTGGGATCAGGGCTTGATTCCCAGGATCTCTTGTGATTTCACCAAACATGTGCCATTATTTGAACTCAGGTTTTCCTTTTTGCAGTTCTTGTGGGTTATGATATTAAATATATCTTCAGCAGTTATCGTAGTGTTTTATGAGGGATGCAGTGGCAGTTCAGTTGATGTGCTGGACACATGAAGCATCATTGTTGCTGCAATCTGCATTTTGTGGGGGCTATATACTAAAAATCTCTCCTTTTGAGAAGGAAAACAAATAGGACATATGTTAAATGTGACTGATAAAAGACAAGACTCTAATCAGTGTGTGTGTATATATATATATATATATATATGGAAAAATGTGGAGAAAATGAAGTACGTAACAAAACAACTAAGATTACCAGCAGGGCAAGAACTACAGCTACAGCACATCTCCACAAGCAAGTGAAAACATGTCTATCATGTAACCCTGGGGGCTGGTGGGAATCCAACTGAATGATAAATGTGGTTTGTGTGTTTTTTCTTAAAGTCAGCATCTTGGGACTTTGTTGTAGCATACAGTCAGCAGGATCATGGCAGTCTGGGTTATTGTTGTTGGATTTAAAGTATCACATTCATCACTGTATTCATTTTTCATTGCACTGTTATATACTTAGTGGTTAGTAAGGCATTTACCTCTGGTTTGAATCTATAAGGAATTCCAAGCACCACATTACTGGAAATCTATGTAAAGTCCTTGGCAAAAATGGGTAAAACCTCAGGGTCTGCAGATGTCCATTTTAAGGAAGCACATCTTAAATGTAGTGAATGCCCAAGATTCACAGCAGACTGCGTTGTATCAATTGGTGCTTGGCAAGATGTGATAACAGGGCTTTTGAAGAGGTTCCAGAGGAGCGTACCGCAGTTTGGGGTGGTAACAATAAATGAAAAAAAATAATTTAGTAGATAAGCTGAAGGAAACATATATTTAGTTCAATTTGTAAACATTTGTTCTCATTTCCAAATTGTCATTTCACCTGTGTGGAAAGAGAAGTGTGTGTGAAGTGTAAATACATAGTGGGTGTTTTAACAAGGAAACTACACCATCCAAAGAGGTTTGGGGTATTTCATACCATTACATAACGATGCATTATTGGATTCTAGTGCCATTTGCCGCCTTTGTAATCGTTCAGAAATAATGCATCGACTCCTGTGCTCAGAGCTTCGTAACCTTAGTTAATCCTTGTGTTTGTGAGACAGGTACGGTAGTAAATCCCGCTGTAGAGGTGGGGCTGGATGCGGCCCCAAGGCACATACGGGGTTGTGCGTGCCGTGCTGTATGACACCTAGGTGTGCATTTAAGGTGCCTGCGTGTCTGTCCCCAGCAGAAGTTCTGGGTGAGGACATGGGCACCCGCCCCGTACAACGCGCTTGCCTGAGGCAAGCAAGGCAGACCTGTGCCTGGTGTCCCCTCACACGTGCTGTGGTACAGGCACTTGCTCAGCCCCACCGGGACTGGGGGGAAAGGCTGCTTTTAGCATAAGGAACAGGTAAAAATATATATGCAGAGTGGTAGTGAGGATGTAATAATGCTACAAGATTTTTCTTAGCTGTGTTAGAGATAGTGGTACAGGCCAATGCTTTTAGCCTAAGGCAAGCCAAAGAGAGATGTCCTGAGACGAAGAATGGAAGGCAACAGGTAGAGGTGGGATGAGGCAGAAGGAACAAACATTTCGCCTGCACAGCTGAGACCAACGACAGAACGAGGTCAGGCTGGTTTAGCTAACCAAAGAAAAATAAGACTAATGGTTAGACGGAGTCTTCCTTCAACAGCACATCTATTTACCGTATTTGTAACGTGCATTTTTCTGTTGGCAATGGTGTAATACAGCAGCGGGCTCCGGCCAGCGTCAGGGCTGGAGCATGCCCCTTGCTCCTGGGAGTTTAGCTGTGTGCTCAAGGCTGGCTGGCTGATAGAAGATGCCTTGGCCAGCCTGGGGGCTTTTCAAGAGAAGGAACCTCAGCAGGAGCTCCCCAACATTTTCTCGGTAGATGCTTTTAGGCTGAGGCGCTTGCATCTGGCCCCTGCCTGAGCTGCAACCCCACGGGTGTTGCAGCCCTGCCCGTGCCTGGCCTTGGGCCCCACTGACCCGGCCTCCGGCTCTCACTGCACCCTGATGACCCGGACCGGTGCTTCTTCTCTCACAGCATTGGAGGTACGGGCACGATTGAACTCTGTTGAGCTGGCCACCCATTACTGCTTCTTAACATCCTAAACCTTATCAGAATTACAGTATCAAGATTCTTTCTATTATGTTTGTAAAATCATTCCACTTACCCGCTTGCTTCATGCAATAGCTGTATCACATCATTCCGATCCATTTGATATGCTGCATAGTTGATATTTTCAGTAAAGTTCTTTCAAAACCAGCCCTTTGGAGTATCTTTTTTCTCCCTGGAATTGGTGGCAGGAACTCCTTTGTCTCTGACTTATGGCTGGGGGTCGACAGTGGTGTAGTTAAGTGTATCCCAAACAATCAGTATATGAAGGACAACAGCAGAGAGCTGTAGCCATCACAGTCTAAAAAGGAAAGTGAGGCTGGTCTGTAGGAAGACGAAATATGTTGTCTAAGACCCACCTGATGCATTAAAATTAACATATACTTCAGCGATCCCAGGGTGTCCCCAGATCAGTGTGGAGCACCTACAGAGCTGAGGAGCCACACTTCCAATTTACTGTCCTTAGCAGCCCTCCTGGGTCAGATTCAGAAACCCTCTGGCCTCAG